GTGACTTGGCACAGATCGGAAAAGTTCCATCTCGGACTTTGGAACCATCCTGGGAGGGCCTGTGTCCTGTGATCCTTACTACACCCATAACAGTAAAAGTAGCCAGGACCTCCTCATGGATCCATCGCAATCAGTTAAAGAAAACTACAAAAAACCCCAGAAAATGGACTGTCACGCGGACCTCCAAACCTTTAAAGACTGACAGGAATTCCCTGATTGTTACAACTGTACTTTGGCTTCTTTTTCTCCTAGGGGAATTGCTCAAAAAAACTAAAAATGAAAAAGTCCTTGCAACTGTGACTATTGGAGAATAGTCCCAGTTACCCTGACCCCAAACCCTAAAACAGGCCTAAATGTACACCTCTCACCAGTTTGAGGGGCCAGAAGGAGGGGCCTCTACCTACTGATCCACGTTGCCCCTCAGAGAGGCCTTTGTATGACTTGAGGAAAGACCCTACTGCTTCTATGTAAATCAGTCTAAAATTATCAAAAAACAAAACAAAACAAAACAAAAAACCCAAAACTTAGCACTCTGACAACTAATAGCAGTCCTTATTTTCCTGCTCTCCATGGCTCACTACCCTGCTCACGGCCTTAGCTAGGCCTCTAGTCCTCCTACTCATGGCCCTGACAGTCAGATGAGTAAATACAGTAAAAATCATGATCCTAAGAGAACAATACAATCTAGACGAGTCTAAGATTTGACTCCTGCCCAGAGAACCAGTGGGGAATGTAATAGGACACCTTCTGACCACAGCTACGCCATGTTAAAGTTAGGCTGACTCTAGTCTCTGAAATCATCAGGCAGTTGGCTCAGCGTATGGGAACACATGTCAGCTGAACCCTGGTTGTCTTGGGACAGGTCAGACTGTCCCAGAGTGCACCTGCTAACTGTAGATTTATGGCTTCTGTAGGTTATGCTTGGCTTGCTTCTGCAAAATAAATTGTTGCTTAATAGAATAGAAATTGTTAAGGGGACTTTGCACGGATAAGCTTGGGAACTTAAACTTTTCACCCCCGATTATGGTTTCTCTGTATAAAAGCTTAACCTAGAGATGGCTTGGGGCTACACATGTGGGTTCCGACATCCTTGTGTAGTTTCCCTGGCCAGTAATGACTTTCACTTGGCAAAATTTGGTCTGAGTGGTCTTCTGTGGTGAACCACCCCACAACAATATTAACATCATTTCTTGGGGTTAAGAAATGGAAAGCTTGTGGTTTAATGATGTATTTGTGTGTCAAGTTGACAGGGGGTCAATTGTGCTGGATAGTTTTGGTTGTCAACTTGTCACACCTGGGTAGAGAGAGCCTCAACTGGGGAATTTCCTCCATTGGACTGGCCTATGGCCATGTCTGTTGGGTATTTTCTTGATTATTGAGTGATGTGGGAGGGCCCAACCCATTGTGGATGGTGCCACCCTTGGCCAGGTGATCCTGTATTGTATAAGAAAGTGGGCTGAGCAGGGGCCAGGGGAATAAGCCAATAGGTGTTCCTCCATGGTCTGTGCTTCAGTGTAGTGTAAGGTCTGACCTTAAGTGTAAAAATAAATTGATTTATTTGAGCCAAGTGTATGGTCTTAAACACCCAAAAGGAAAGTATAACCAAAGAGTAAAGTCACCAGTATATTTCTTTAAGAGTTCAAGGGATTACATTTCCCAGACATTAGGCTTAAGTCCATATAAAAAGTTATTTAGACAATT